CTTGATACGGCAAGAATGGCCATTCAAGGAGGACACTGCAAATGAAACGGAGGCAAGGGGTAAAGCAGCTTTGGACAGCCTGGCCTGTGGCAGCGGTGCAAGCACTCAGCACAGTGAGCAAGGACTCACTGCACAGGATAGCTCCCGCGCGAACCTGCTTCATCCACGGGCAGATAAACATCACAATGAGTTATGATCCTGACGGAACCCCAAGTGGCCCTAGCACATAGAGTGGAGACCAAACACAGCCCCAGAGATGCAGACGCCGAGAGCCTGCTGCATCCAAGAGCTGCGTATTTTGACCGGAAGTCTCCAGAAAATGATGCTAGGTGAAAATAATGAGACATCTTCCCCAGGAAGGTTCTCTGAGTACAGAAACCTTGGCAGCCTAGAAGACTACTGAACACAGACATGCTGTGTTTCTTTCTAACCTTGGAACTTCAAAGTCACACCTACTTCTTGACAATGTTTCTTCTTATGGACTGTAAGGATAGTTGGGGGAAAGTCTAAAAATTAAAACAACAGAATAGCATTAAAAAATATTTATTTATGGCTGAGCTGGGTCTTCATTGCTGTCTGGGCTTTTCTCTAGTTGCAGCAAATAGGGGTTACTCTCTAGTTGTGGTGGCTTCTCTTGTTGCACAGCACAGGCTCCAGGTGCTAGGACTTCTGTAGTTGTGGCACGTTGGCTCAGCAGTTTCAGCACACAGGCTTAATTTCTCCAAGGCACACGGGGTCTTCCCAGATCAGGGATTGAACCTGTGTATACTGTATTGGTAGGCGGATTCTTTACCACTGAGCCACCAGGGAAGCCCCCAGAATAGCATTTTAAATGGAAAATCTCTCCAAGAAAGCTACAGAAATTAAGAACTTGTATCTACTCAGAAACAGATCTCACAGTGGTACTGGCTAGGAATCCTGCAGAGCTATACATCTGGATTTTTTCTAGTGCCATATAACTAAAGCCTGTAGCTTGTCCTGGCATAAAAAATAAACATAATTCAACCCCGCACATTCACCCTAACTGCAGCCAGGCTACAAGGGGAGTAGCCACATAGCTCTTCCTATTGGAAATGATGACATGTATGGGTCTCACCTGAACTGTATGTTTGCTAAGTTGTATTCCGAGAACAATGACTCAGACCCAAACCGTTGTACCTTGAAAAGTTATTCACAACAAAGAGGTTCTGAGGTTTCTAAAATATCTTATTCTTACTCACTTTTTGTCACCACCATCACGAGCCACTCAGGTGAAGCTCCATTTGGGAAGCAAGTTTGGTTCATTTTGGATGCTCGTAGCCTGTCCCAATTAATCTGGACAACAAGCTCTTCTAAAATGCAAACTTGTCTGGTATGGCAATGATCTCTTTTTAAACTGCACTATTACACTTGTTTACACAATTTTCCAAAAGTTGTGTGGAGGCATTCACCCAATGGTGGCTGGGGCTAGTGTATGAAAGACACTCTCCCTGTGAACCATCCCCTCCCACCCCAGTCTTTATCAGAAATCCAATGGCTTCAGAAATGCTAAGTAGTATTAACCATTATTCTCAGTGCAGTTTCAGGAAAGTGGTGAGAGAACAGAAGTATTTGTGGGGGTGAGCTGATGCCCAAAGAGCCTCAATCTGCCCTGGAGGACGGTGACAAATGCAGGGGTGAGAGGTGTGCGCCCAGTGAGTATGACTCCTGAGGGTGAGGCTGGCCATGTCTGTCTGTCTGTAGTCTTTCCACCATCCCTTCCCTGCCCCCATTTCCACTCAGAGTGCTATTAATGATGTTTTTCTTTTTAAATCAAGACACACAGACACCCAATTTTTCACATTTCACCAGCGTTGTAGCACTGCCTGGGACAGGAGAGGGGTTGATGGAGAAGAGAGGACACTGTAAGCCAACCTTCAAAGGGCCACCAGAAGTCACACTCACCAGCTGAGAAAGTCACTTAGCACTGGGGAGGGTGGAGTCAACACTGGGTGTTTTTTTGGGAACACGGAAGGCTACAAACTGAAGTTGTGATTTACGAAAATTGCACTTGATAAAAAAAAATACTAAAATCTTATCATATATAGGAGTTGTCTGCTTCTATTTTTCAATCCTCATTAGCCAGTTTAAGTTGTGAGTAAAGGTTTCTCCCCAGCCTCAAACCCTCTCTGGTAAAATATCTCTTGTACATTTTTTTGTTTTAGTGAGTTTCGAGATATCTTCATATATTCTGGATAGAAGTCCTTTGTCAGCTATATGATTCGCAAATATTTTCCCCCAAGTCTGCAGCTTGTCTTTTCTCTCTCTTAGCAGTGTCTTCCAGAGAGTAAACATTTTAAATTTTGATGAAGTTCAATTTGCCAATTTTTTTCTTTTGTGGATCATGCTTAGGGTGTCAAGTGCTGTGCACACTTTAAGTCTGAGAATGTGACAAGATGAGAGCTGGCTGTTCAGACAGCAAAGTCTGGAAGAGCGAGGGCCTGTGTATAGGAAAGGCTACAGAGAGATGTCCAGACACCTGGCTACCAGGCTGGCCTGACACCACCAGGTGGGAGGTGCCACCGAGGAAGCTGAAGCAAACCAAATGCCAGATTCCTCTTCAGAACTGTCTGAACAGGCCACCAGAAGTCACCTTGCTAGGAAAGAAGGTAACTCTATCACAGTTTCAATGGTTTATCTGAGAATTACATGTCTATGGTGATCTGTGGTACAGGCGATGGAGGCTCTGGCACTCAGAAATCGGGGGGAAGTAAAGACCCACAGACAGAGCACAGCAGCGCTGGTGAACGAGCTCTAACAGGACAGCTTCCAAACTCTGAAATCTCGTCAGGGAACTGTACCAAACAGGCCAGATAACCAGGCCAATCCAACCCTTTCTTATTTTTCAGCTTCTCTCCATGTGATGTTTGTTTCTCAATGGCTGCCTTGTTTGTCCAGCACTTGTAAATGGTTTTCTCGGTCTTAGTCCTTATTGGAGGTGAAGCTGGCTTAGAACAGGGAGGAGCAGTTCCCCTGAGAGGAGGGGCCCTGATCAGGTCCTCTGTCTCTAGAAGTGAGTTGTGTGAGTGTGACCAGGACAGGGCAATCGCGGAAGCTGATTAACAGAGCACTCAGCACCCAGCCGCCCAGCCCCCTGCTTCCTGACCGCACTGACCCCTGGAGCACGGGCCACCCAGCAAATACGGGAACAGGGACACGAGACCACCAACGCGCTCTCCCCACCATGTAACCCTGAGAGCACCAGAGCTCCGATGTGGAGAAAATCAGCAGCTGCACCTGCCCAGAGCAGCACGACTTTGAAAAGAAGCATGGATGCACTCTGAACTACACACTGGGTGGAGAGAGCCAGACCTGAACCCTCCCTGAGCCCTGTGACCATGACACAGTGAGGTCTGTGGTCCCTGCCCTGGCCGAGCCAGCACAGCCAGCGCCCTGAACACCACTCTGCTGGTACCAATCCCAACCTCAACTCCCGCTGCTTCCCTTCCGGCCTGCAGGGCCCATCTATCAGCGCCTCCCTGCACCCAGCCTCGGCAGCACTGCCTTTCCAGCAATGGCTTTGAAATCTCCTCAACTGCGGGTCAGTGGAAACTAAGACCCACTCTAAGCAGAAGGACCACAGGCCTTCCTGTTTGTCCTGCTGGCACTGATCAATGTCACGCTAATTCTTTCTTGTCACAATATCCCATTTTGCTTGTGGACAAAAGCATCCTGAAGTAAATGCAGTGGCCAGTCACATGATTTCCTTAGACATTCATCCAAAATTTAATGAAAGGAATTATACTCAATGAATTGTTTGCAGGTATCCTAATTATATTTTGTTGGTTCTTTCTTTTCAATTTATTTGTACCTATATTTTACATATCTATATTCTTATAAAAAAACAAGATGGAAAAAAATCAGTTCCTTATCATTGCTCCTCCCTGCTTCTTCCTCCAAATTCCACTTTCCTACCCAGAGTGGAGTGCAAATATTTTATTTCATGTCTTGTTGATATGTATTCACACACACAGAGATATGCACTGTTCGGCAGCCCATGGTGGGTGTCATGTCAGTCTCTTAACAACAGGCCACTCCCTGTTGATGCAAGTGTAGCCACCACACTCTGTATTTTCCCGTGGGGAATGCATGTGATTGATTCCACAGTGCCCTTATGGCAGGTGTTCAGGCATAATATTCTTGTGCATTTCCCCTGACACACAGGCAAGTTGTCTTCCAGGAGAGAAACCTAGAAGATTTGCTTTTTCTACCTGAGGTTAATAATTAAAATCAGGTCTTTCTGTTTTAACACACGATTGTGTACATCAAGACTTAGGGAACAGTTCGTGTGTTAATTCTAGAAGAAATGGGGTTCACAGCAGAAGCGTTAGGAACTACCTAGGTGAATCGGGATGAATGAAATGAACACACAAACAAATAAACATAAAATGCAGGTCAAGTTTAGAGCTGTGAGATGGTGTACTGACCAAAGAGGCTCATGACAGGAGCAGACAAGCAGGCCCCAGGACCTGGAAGGACAAGTAGAGGCCAAGCAACCACCGCACATCATGAAGGACCCCTCTTGCCGGGACCACCACACCTGCCTTAGATAGAACATAAAACTGGGTTTACATTCCCCCCTGAGTAGGGGGAATGGAAGGTTGCAGAGCGTGAAAGGGAAAGTTGAGGAACATGGGGAAGATGCTAAGCTATGATCTGACTGTTGCAGTTGAGGAGCAGAGTGATCTCTATGTGCAGTGACTGGTCTGTATGTGTAACGATATATTCGTTTTTGCTTTGGTTCAGTGTCAAGAGTATTTTTAAATGTTCAAAAGGATTCAGCTTGTACTCTTTTCCTTTTAATATGGCTCAAATTTAGCGTGTCCTATGTAACAATCACAAACAAGGCCTTAATCAGAGAACAAAAGAACACATGAAAGAGAAACATCTGTGCTGACAAGAAGTACTTCTGAGAACCGAGAGTGAAAAATGGAGACTCCCCTTCACACCAGAAGCCACAGTAGCGTAAAAATCTGACTTACTTTTCTATCAAATCCAGTGTGACTCCAGGCACCAGACTAACGCATTTCTGCATGCAGAACCTGCAGAGAAAAAGAAGACAGTGAATCCCAGCAACGGGATATGTGACGGGAGAATACAACAGTCCCAGAGAAAAAGCAACGAGAGGAAGGGGGCCATGGGGATTGCCACAGTGAAAAGGTAAACCCAGATTTTCTTAATTCTGTCAGCTCTTAGGTTTATGAAGAAAATCTCCCTGCAGCCTCTCAAAGGGGCAGGAACACTGAGCTGCAACTGGAGGTCTTCAGTGGAAGGAGAGAAACAAGTCTGCGGGTGGTGAGGCAGAGCCCCACTGTGGGGGGCTGGGGGTGGGTCCTCGTGAGTCACGGACAGAAAGCTTCCACCCAGATGATGGAACAGGCTCCACTTTTCCATTTTTCCTTCTTAAGCAAGTAAACCTGGAGAGAGTGATGGAAGGATCAGTGAACCACCCCCAGGCACACAAAAGAAATTTGTGGGAGAAGACAAAGAAAAGTGAATTCAATTATATCATTTTAATTATCACAAAATCATAGGAGCTGTGAGACGTAATCTTTGCTGCAGAGCCATCCTGGAGGGCTGGGCGGGGTGGGGGTGGGGTGGGAACTGGGACTGGGGGACTGGCCAGGCGTCATCTAATTTGTGTGCACTGACAGGAGGTTGAAGACCATCTCTTCCTTCCTATCAGGGCTATTGGCACGCGGCAGGACAGAATCAATGGTCATGAAGAGTGAAAAAGCAACTTAGCATTGGTCTTAGGAGAAATGTAAAACATTTAATTCATCTGCTTTAAAAATTAAGAACAAATAACCCCCTCTATGAAAAGAGCAGCAGGCACAGAGCAAATACACCCACAAAACCCATTTCCGCATCACTAGATGGATGTGAGACGTGGAGGAAGGTTGGAGAAAGTCAGTGTGCTCATGGGAGGGGATGAATACAAGGACCAGGCCACATTTAGGGCACATGGAGTGAGAGGTGTACAGTGGATCTGTAAGGACGAGGGAGAACGACAAGGAGATAGAGATCCAGAGATTGGAAGACAACAGACAAGGCCAAGACGACAGCGTCTGGTGTGCAACTGGCTCCTGACATGTGGCCCTCCAGCTGGGATGGGGGAACCCTGAGCACCCAGCCCTGCCAGGCTTATGGCCTCAGCAAGCAACACTTTGCTCAGCCACAGAGGAAGTTACATTCCTGGCTGTGACTGAGCTGGCTGGTGCTCTCCATTCACACAGCAGCAGAAACACGAATGAGACAGAGCCTGTCTCCCTCGGAGACAAGTGGCTGGGCTGCCCAGATGCTCCACCGGGCCAGTCAGTCCATCTGGACAAATCCTCCTGTTTCCTTCCCTGTCGGTGAGCTCTGCCCGCCCGCTCCCACACATCACTGCAACCGTCCACAGGCAGCTCTGACAGTGGCTCCATGTGAATCAGGATCTTTCCGTGGATGGAAATGGTCTATAGGAAATGCACTTTCCAGTCCAATTCTGAGGCCTATGCAAACAGGACTGCTCTGTCGTTTTTTTTTTCTCTGTAACACGCTTACTGATTGGACCTCGGCATTCCTATAATGACAGAATAGTCTGTACCAGACTAATCCTTTTGTCAATAACAACAGTAAGCTCTGGATAAAATATAAAAAGCAACCACTTGAAAGCATCAAAGAGCAAACAAATACAGGCAGAAAGGGAAGGTATGACCCTTACAACAAGAGTAACCGCACAAGGTCCACCTCAACCAGTTTTTCCCACACATGCTCCCCAATTCACAAAGCATCAGGGACATAGCTCAACTGGAAGGAGATCAGAACCCCAGAGCTTCGGGGGAAGTCTTAGGAAGGAGCCAAATTCAGCGAGCAAGCTCTCCTGGGATCCTGGGCTGGCCTGGGCACGGCACAGGCATGGGACCAGACCCCAAGGAGCCCCAGGGACATAAGAGCTGAAGGGCACTGAGCAGAGGTTTCCATACCTGCTCCCCAGAAGATGCGCACACAGAGAGGGAGAGCCAGTGCCACATTAGGGGGCTATGAACACCTGGGGCTTTCCACTGTGGGGTGCGGCCTGAGTTACAGCCATGGTTCAGGATACAGAGCTGCACCCCGCAAACTAGGAGCAAAGTCAAAGATGACCAATCCTATAGCTGAGAGACCACAAAGTCAATTAAACCATCTACAAGAACAGCTAAACCAGAGGAAGTTAGCAGAATCCAGACTTTCTCAGTGTCTCATTCACAATGGAAAGTATTCTAACCTAAAATCAAGAGAAAAATAGTTAATAAAACTAGATTCATTGTTGACCACATTTTTTATTTAGACTTTATAAAAATAACTTATTAACTGGGAAATAAGTATTATCATAAATCTGCTGGAAATATAAAGTTAAGGAAATTAAAAATAGGGACACTATGCAACTTTAAAATATGCACAATATGGTATGAGCAGCATGGAGGAACCAGTGACTGATAGTCCACAAAACTGTACATCAGCCTGTATTCATTCCCTTTGCACCAGAACTACATCAGGCAAAATCAGAGACAATAAAAATGGCTCGACAATTCCACAAAGCTGGATATTCGTAATTATAACAATAAACACAACAGCTGGCAGTCATTTAGTGCTGACTACTTTGTGCTGGTTGCTGGAGCTCATCAACAGGCTGGGCCACTCTTGACTCCTCTCTGTCCGACTCGCCCTCTCTGAACTGCGGGGAAGTTACACAGCACCTGACCACTGCTCACCACCTGCCTGCTGACCCTCCAGGCCAGAGTTTCTCAGTCGGCACTAAGGACACTGGGGCCAGATCTTTCTTTGCTGTGGGGGTGGCATCCTAGCCTCTACCCAAGAGATGCCAGCAGCACCCCCATCCCAATTGTGACAACCATTAGGTCTCCTGATGCTGCCTAATGTGCTTCACCTCCTTGAGGACACAGCCCCAGGCCAGGCCCCAGCATCCCCCACATTTTCCAGAATAGTCTCTCTGCTTCCTATTTTGCCTGTGCTCCCTACTTCTCTCCCAGGAATTCTCTACCAGGCAGCCAGAGCGAGCCTTTTATGAGGAAATATGGGGATAAATCATTTCCTCTTGACCCTCCAGAAGCATCTTGCCATGCAGGATGAAATGCAGGGTGCCTGCCTAGCCTCCCAAGGCCCTGCCCTGGGCTTCCAGTCACTGTTCTGACTTCACTTCCTCACTCTCACTCTGCTTATCCAGTTCCAGTCACCCTGACACACTTTCTCCTCCTTCCATCTGCCAGGCACAGCCCCACCTCAGGGCATTTGCACAGGTTGCTCCCTCTTGCCCCAGATAACTGGAAGGTTTACCCCTTTGTTTTACTCGGATTTCTTCTACCTTCCCTGACCAGCCTAAGAAAATAGCACCTTCATTCTCTACTCGTGTACCGTGCTTTTTAAAAACAGCATTTCTTGCTACCTTATTATATATTTCTGACTGCTTGTCTTTATCATAGAAGATAAGCTCGCTGAGGACAAGGACTTCTTCTATTTTGTTCATCAGTGTGTTGCCAGTACTTAGAAGGGCGCCCTAACATATAGTTCTGATACTCCATAAATGTGTCAACAAGTGAATATGGTATAAGACTGATTCCTAATATTTCATATATCTTTTTTTTCCTGTTGCTCTTGCAAGTGATTGGCTTCAAGATTTTTATGAAGAACAAATTAATGGCTAAAAAGAAAACTCTGTAACTTTGTAAACTGTCGTATGACTGCTGGATGCTATTTGTTTCTGAGAATGGAAATTTACTAAATTTTTTTCCAATTAGAAAAATCCCAAACATTTATCATAAAAATTAAAAGTACAGAAAATTACAAGTAAAAATTACCCCCACATCTAAGATAACTATTAACACTTTCGTATCTACCTCTTACAGAAAACTGAACCATGCTGATTTATTTTGTGCTGGGATAAAATAAAATCAGTCCCTGGAATAGCCCAAACAATACAGATGATGGAAAAGTGGAGTTGGTCCTGCAGCCCAATCCTACTTCCGACTGCCCCTCTGCATCCAGACTGTGCCCAGCACATGTGTACAACCAATATCTACACTTGGGTTTTGTTCAGCTTTTGTTTCTTACCATAAGAGAATTTGCCATACACACTACAGCTTTCCCCTCACCCCCAGTATTTTCCAAAGTTCAACAAAGTTGAAAGAATTTTAGAGTTAAGCACCTGGATCCCACCACCTAGGCTCCACCATCAGCATTTGATTACATTTGCTTTACCACATTTCTGCTTCTCCATCCATCAGTGCATCTCATTTTTCATGAGACAGAGGAAGTGGTATACTTACTTCCCTTTAAATTCTTCAGCACACAAACCAACATTCAGTATTTGCTCATTGTTTCTTATCTTTTGACATAATTTTACATACAATGATGTGCACACATCTTTAACTGTTCATTCACTGGGTTTTGACAAATGCATGTGCCCGTGTACCCAAGCTCCTACAGGGACTACTACCAACAATCCAGGGAATTTTCTTTCGCCCTTTCTCAGCCAATTCCTACTTCCTCCCATTGCCCCCAGGGGCAAATACTGCTCTGATTTTTCCACTGATTTTTACTCCTCAGTTCTAGAGTTTCATATACAAGGACTCATTGAGTATGTACTTTTGTATAAGACCTCTTCCAGTCAGCATGATGCTTTAGGTATTTATCCATGCTTTTGCTGGTTTCATGAATTTACTCTGCTCCCCTGCTGACTGGTATTCCATTATATGAAAAGACTGTAGTTTATATGTGCTGTTCTGTAACTTACCTTTGTATATCATGGACAATATAAAAGCTGATGCACAGAACATTGTTTCTCATGAACATGAGTGTGCTGTCCTCAAGATGTACTTGTAGCAATGAAACTGCCTGATGAATGGGTACACCTATTGAATGACCAGCCATTGTCTGTCTGATGGCTCTCCAGAGGAAAGTATCATTTACTGTCACATCAAAGCTGAATATATCCACTTTTTAACTTCTGGAAAATACTGTGTTTATCAACATAAAAGAAAAACAACCCTCTGTCCTACTG